AAATAGCAGTTTTTATGGAATAAATTTAAAATCTATATATCATCACAGTTTCCTTTGCTGAATATCTGTAATAATACACAAAAGTAGATTCTGTCTCATTAGCTGATTTCAAAACGGATTCTCAAAATTATAATTCGAAGACTAAAATAAAAAAAATATATGGAATCTTATAGTGGATTAAGGTTCTTAAGATTTTTTATATATAAGTGGAGAAAACTGGTTTTGTTTTATATGTATTGAATTTCTTTGTATTGTCAAACTTTTATGAAGCAATTTTATTATTTATTAAGTTATTAAATAGTATAAGTAATTAGTACAAGAAACAAGTACTAAATACTTATAAAACAGTTAATGAGAAATATATATTTTTTTTCTTAATTTTTCTCTTTTTTGTTAGTATACTCGTTACCGCACTACTTCCTTCATTTTGAACCTTTGTCTTGCTTTGCAATGACACATTGTTGACTTTCTTTAAAAATTATACTAAATAAAATTTTCAATTACTAACTGTATGAGTTTTTAGATTGAATACCGCAAATATTTACAAATTTTGTTATAGTTTTTTATACATAAATATTCAAAATCCCTAAAATCAAAATGACAGCCAATTACTATACCTTTAAATATGAGTTCTTCGTAATAGATGCGGACGAAAAAAATTTATTAATTAAAGCGGCTGCTTCGGAAAGTTTGGCTTCATGTTAACATTTGTTATACAAATTCAGTGCTTCTCAAACTGTTATAAATATAATATATGTATATATTAAGAGCTGGCAACCTTTACATATGACCCTGAAAATATTTGACGTTGTCTTTCTTTTGCAATTTTATATTCACACAATTTTCGCTTAACTCGATTTTTAAACAACAAAAAACACGAAGAAGCAACAAGCATCCATCCAAGTCAGCGCCAGCACGTGTCTCTCTGCTAATATTGTAAAGTAATCAAATAAAAATTTTGCATAAATATTAAAGCGAGCGCCATTAGCAACAGAATAGTTTAATTACTTTAATGAAATTTATATAAATTACATTGTTTACAAACATTAATAGTCCATAAACAAATTCGCCGGCGAATTTGTTTAAACAAGTGTTTTTTCTAAAGTCCTTAAGTACAAAACAAATATTTAAAGTATTTTGAAGGTTAATAATATACATACAAAAATGTTTTACTTAATTGGTTTGGGTTTGGGCGATCCTAAGGACATTACAGTAAAAGGCCTTGAAATTGTAAAAGCTTGCAGTCGTGTTTACTTGGAAATGTATACATCAATTTTGGGGTGTCCAAAAGAGGAATTGGTTGTATACCATTAAATGCTATATAAATGTTTGTATTTAATTTTATTTTTGAATTTAATTTTCAGGAAGCTTTTTATGGTAAGCCAATTTTGCTAGCTGACCGCGACCTTGTAGAGCAAGGTGCAGATGATATACTTGCTGGTGCTGCTGAAGAAGATGTAGCGCTCTTAGTAGTGGGTGATCCATTCGGAGCTACTACGCATACAGATTTTATATTGCGAGCTAAGGAGAAGAAAATTCCCTATAAAGTAATACATAATGCATCGATTATAAATGCAATTGGCTGTTGTGGCCTACAATTGTACAAATTTGGTGAAACTGTTTCGATACCTTATTGGGATGAAACCTGGAAACCTGATAGTTTTTATGATAAAATCAAATTAAATAGACTTCATAATATGCATACACTCTGCCTGCTTGACATAAAAGTCAAAGAACCCACCTTGGAATCATTAATGCGAAAACGTAAAGAATATATGCCACCTCGTTTTATGACTGTCGCTGAAGCTGCACAACAAATATTAACGATTGTCGATAAAAAGGATGCGCTGGAACGTAATACCATTTTAAATGAACAATCATTATGTGTAGGTTTAGCTAGAGTTGGACACGACACGCAACAAATTATGGTTTCCACACTACGTGATATGAGCAATGCTGATCTCGGCGGACCATTACACTCATTAGTTATACCAGCTAAGGAAATGCATCCTCTAGAAATAGAGTTTTTACAACAATACACTTCTATTAAACTAGATGATTATAATCATTGAGACTTTTAATTATGACATTCTATAGAAATCTGAAAATGATTGGCGCAAGTGCAAAATAACTAATTAAAATTATTATGTGTAAATCTTCTTATTCTTATTTGCCTATTTAGATTTAAGTATGGAAGTATTTGATAATTTCATTATAATTGTTTTTAGTCTAATGTGTTGTGCATTTGTATTAATATTAACTTGTATAAGAAGTACTTCAGTGTATAAAAATTATTTTAAAATATTTGCAATTAAACTTTGTTATTTTACAAAATGTGTTGTATGTATTTGGTTATAATATGGAAATTGATATAGATTGTAAGATAATATTGTATGGAACAACGGACAAAAAAAAAGAGTTACTAAAATTTTGGAAAAAATCATAAAATACTAGGCTTAGTACTAATAAAAACTTCTTTAAAGTTGTTTTAATGGACTAGTACCATTTATTTTAACTGCTAAATGCAAATAATAAAACAAAGAGTCGTAATAAACAACCTACCAGAAAAATTGAGAACACTACATTAAACAAAACTTTTCAAAGATAAATTGGCGTTAAGGGAGTGCCACTCATAAATTCTATTGGGGCCGCACTCGCAAGAACTGCAAATCAAAAATACGTCTGTAGTTATGGTAGGGCAACAGTCACAAATATGTTAACATTCGTTGATGTCGAGTTTTATTCGTTAGCACTCAAAATATAGTACTGCCTCTTTTACCTCAATCGATCATAGATCAAATTTGGCAATGAATTTATATACACAACCATAGAAACTAAACTTGTGTTATACTAAAATTCACTGTATTTTAAATCTACGTTTCTTGATTTGAAGACTTATATACGTTCGCAACATATAGACAGAGTACTCGTATAAAAATGTTATATTTAGTGTTTAAAAGTTTAAAATAATGTATGGTAAGATAGATAGACACAAGAATCTACTTTTTGTGTTGTATTTTAATCGTGTATTTTACACATATGTTAAAAAGTTGCTCATGGCAGATACAAAGAATTTATTTATTTAATTAGTAACTTGATATCTTAAACAATATAATTATTAATTTCAATAGTACAAACCGCGCATACGCCTACCAGAGCCTTGGCGGTCATATAGTATATTAAACTTATTGATGAAATTGTTCATATCATTGCAACCTTTTGTAAGTGTACCCAAATAACTTATAAGTATGACGTCGTTGCACTGTGTATAAAATTCTTTATGAAAGGCTTCATCTTGCATAACAGGCAAGCGGTGACTTAGTGCATAGATATCACGTAAAATCTCATGATCAACCGGCAATTTACCAGCGTTGACATCTTTTACATATTTAAGTATAATTTTAATACGTTTACTTAACATTTTAATGGCACTACCAGTTGCGACCAATTGTTCAGCTACAACTGACTTTTCGCCAGTCTCATTAGTAGACATACGGGCTACATGATCTACGCCTATACGTTCAGCCTCTTCTGTTGCTAATGTATATGTTAAAGGAACAAAAAGCATAGTAGCTTCGCCATTAATCAAATCAATTACAGTTTCATAAAGTTTAAGTGGTAACTGCTCTACACTACGCGATAACGGATTTAATTGTAACATAATGGGACATTCATTAATGTTGGCAATTTGCTTTTGTATTTTTAGGTCTCTCTCAGTAGGTGCTTCACCTGTTGTATACCAACCTATAAAATCCAAATCACTGAAAACCTGCAATAAAATTAAACTTGTACTTCAGTAATTATATTACGCTAAAAACAAACCTTTTTGTATTGCTGCTCTTTTGTGTTATAGTAGTCTAAATTTATGATAACATCATCACCCACATTATCCACTTTTAATTCAAACGAGTTCATTACTTCAATGTTGCGGCCTTTTTCTTTGCCAATCAGTGCACCATAAACTTGTGTTATTTCCCCAGATTGTGCTCTTATGCGTGTCCAGTGCTCAGAGATATTCATTATGACCAATGGATGCAATGATATTGTTACAGATGGTACAGTACCTGGACCAGCCATTATGGCTGATTTAGGAGTTACTTCTACGTCCACGTCCATTTGCTCCATGCTGAAATCAAAATCTGTATTTAAGTCCCGCAGTGAACAACAAACTTGGAAATATCTGTAAAAATGCAATACACCGTGTAAAGAGTTGCCAACCTTAAGTACTGGCAATTAAATAAAATATAATACTTACAAATACTCGGAATTATCAATTATTTTATATAAATTCTTTATATATCAATAAGCAATTGTTTGAGTGGCTTGTTTAAGTTTTTATTGTTTGAATCAGCTATTTTGTTAACTCAGTTGCCGTTATAATTTAAATAAACATATATATGTAAATATATATATCGTACCAAAGGAATATAAAAATATTATTTACTGAAATAATTCATTAAATTTAATTATTAATCATTTCATCATTTTCTGTAAATATTACCAAAAAATCAACAAAATTATCATTCACAGCAAATTATATAATGCGACAACCAGAAGCAAGCAACCTCTAAAGCTATTTTATAAGAGTTCAGAATCAGCTGTTATAATCAGCTTAAGACACATTTTAATTTTACCAATTAAAAATCGTTTTATAAATGTTGCTTTGTTAACTACAAAATAATTCACAAAACAGGGAATTTCATTTGTAAAATAATTTATAATAATAGCACATGAATTTTTTAAAATAGTTTATTGATAGTTGTTAATAGGAGCATTTAGCTGATTTAGTGGAGATAGCAAAAACTAAATTGCTTTTTGCAGCGTTCCTGATGAAATGATTGCTGCTGCAGTATCAGTTGAATAATAATTTGACAGCAACATCTGCAGGGAGAATAAACCAATTTAAAAATGGCAAGCGAATGTAACTATTATAATATTCCCACTGTAGTTTAATCAATTTATGGTAATCAAATGAAGATTTGGTGATTTCCATTGGTATAAGTTGATTATTGCTTGTGTAAGAGCTTTTATGTGTCAGAAAGTTCTGTGAATGTTCTTTTCGTTTGTTTGTTAGCGGATAATATTTAATTTTGTATTGTTAGCATACGATAGTACGAAAGTATGCTAACAATACATAAACAAGGTTTTTAAGGTTTGCATTGCGTATTTTTAATTATGCTTAATTAAACTAATTAATTAATTAATTAAACTGATTTTTTAAACTATATATTTAGTTTCATTTACTTACTTAACTCTATTTACTTACTTAATTTACTTAATCTTCATTTATACGTTGCAATTTAAAACTGCAGCGTGTAAATGTAGATTTGATTGTGTCAATTTCAAATAAAAATATATTGTGTGTTTACCCTTACAAATTTTTAATAATTTCATTGCGGGAAACAAAATATACACAAAGATATTATAATTGTTTTCATTTTGTGGCATTTATTTGTTTATCTGATAAACTAATTGTCAAGCCAAATGGATTTGATTGATGAGAAAAATAAAAAAAAATTAAATGACTACATATTGTATCCTGAAAACCCAATTTTCAATCAAGTGCCGGATATAATAGAAAGAACTTATGATGAGATGCGACTTCTACATATGCCCAAAGCTCCTGCCAGCACAAAGTTGGTACCTAGACGTGATTTTATGACAGGAAAAATAATTAAATTTGAAGAAGTTGACTTGGAGGATGTAGGGGCCAATGCATGTAACTCCACTTCAATGCGGCGTGAGCCGGGTCTATTAGAAGAAACCACTCATGGATCATCAAAGAATTATCCTTTCCTACCTGGTGGTTTTGATGAATTACCTCGTATTAAACTTACTGCCGATAATTTTGATTTTGGTACGGAATTATTAACAGTTCCTCCTGGGTTTTCAAAAGGCCATGATTTTGCCAATAAATCTGAGTTCAATTCGCATTCATTCATTAAAATCCAAAATGAACATAAGGACAACATTAATTTATTAGATGATCTTGAAAAGGATTTAGATGTGCAAGAATGGCTTAAGTTAAGCAATCAAGTTACGGGTAGTGAAAAATCGAACGCAACAGGTAATCAGCTTCTAGAGTATAAAGACGTGGACGAAGATATATTGAAAGAAGACGTTAGGCCCGTTATCGAAATATCAAAATCCAATACAAAATTAGTTCAAGCTCAGTGGGCAGAAATGGTAGATATAACACAACCAGTAACAGATTTTAAAGAAAAAGTACCCTGTCCTGCTATGACATATCCGTTTGAACTAGATGTGTTCCAGAAACAAGCAATAATAAAGCTTGAAGAACGAAAGTATGTTTTTGTCGCAGCTCACACTTCTGCAGGTATTTTTTAATTCAGTTTCGCATTATAATATATAAAATATTAAAATGAATTTTAAAACCTTCTTAAAGGCAAGACTGTGGTTGCAGAGTATGCGATTGCTTTGTCGAAACGTGATCTTACACGAACCGTTTACACTTCACCCATCAAAGCACTTTCTAATCAAAAGTATCGCGATTTCAAAAAAATGTTTGACGATGTCGGTTTAATAACAGGCGATCTCCAAATAAATCCAACCGCAAATTGTCTTATTATGACTACAGAAATCTTACGTTCAATGTTATATTGCGGAAGCGAAGTTACAAGAGATCTCGAATATGTGATTTTTGATGAAGTACACTACATAAATAATCCTGAACGCGGTCATGTATGGGAAGAAGTTATAATCTTGCTGCCTGATCATGTCAACATAATTATGTTAAGTGCTACGGTACCTAATACTATGGAATTAGCTAATTGGGTGGGAAGCACTAAAAAACGAAAAGTTTATGTAATTAGTACATTGAAACGCCCAGTACCATTGCTACATTATTTGTATATTGGTTCCAATGGGAAATCTAAAGATGATCATTTTCTGTTAGTCGATGACAAAGGAACGTTTATGGATGATAACTATAAATTAGCTGTACAAAAAAAAGATGAAATGCAAGCCAAATGGAAAACTGTATCTAAAGGTAAACCTGGCCCTAAAATGGGACTGAATCCAAAGCAGGAAACAAGAATATGGATTGGCATAATAGAATTTTTAAAACGCCATAACAAAATGCCTGTTGTTGCATTTACACTATCTAGAAATCGCTGTGATCAGAATGCTCAGGTAATTAATAAATAAACACGAAAACAACACTACAACTAAAAATTTTCATTATTTAGAATTTAACATCTGTTGATTTAAATACTGCTTCAGAAAAAGGAGCAGTGCACAAATTCTTCCAACAGTGTTTAACAAAGTTGAAACCGCCTGATCGTAAGTTACCACAAGTCTTAATTATGAAAGATTCACTAGAGCGTGGTATAGGAGTTCATCATAGTGGTATATTGCCTATACTTAAAGAAATTGTGGAAATGTTATTTCAAAATGGTCTCGTCAAATTGCTGTTTGCCACTGAAACATTTGCTATGGGAGTTAATATGCCAGCACGAACTGTGCTTTTTGATTCTCATAGAAAATTTGATGGAATAGAGCAAAGAAATTTGAAACCTGCGGAATATATACAAATGGCTGGCAGGGCTGGTCGACGTGGTCACGATGAAAATGGTACAGTTATGATGATATGTAAGCAAGCTATACCTCCTGCAATGGAAATGCGTGCAATGATACTGGGACAACCAGAGAAACTTTGCTCTCAGTTCATATTACGTTATGCTGTTATTTTGACTTGCCTGAGAATTGAAAGCATTAAAGTGGAAGATATTATGCAATATAGCTTCAAAGAGTTCTATCAAAAACAACAAATTCCAAATCATCAAAAGCAGTTACAAGCTGCTCAAGATACTATCGAAAAAATGCCACCGATGGGGGAACATTTAAAGCCACTATGCGAGTTTTTTGATGCAGCAAATAGTTATATTGCGGAGAAGAAAGCTGCAATAACATACATTTTTGAAAAAAATGTAATTTGAAAATATATTAAGTAATTATTTATATACATTTAATAACAAATATTTATTTTCACAGCATAAACTACATAAAGAACTCAAGATAGGACGGGTTATTATTATAACTTCTGGCAAACACTTTAATAAATTGGGTATAATTTTGCAAATTTCCAAAGGTCTCTCCAAAGAGCCCAATTTCAGAGTATTAGTGCTAGATCATCAATTCAAAAACACAACGCCGGAAGTATGCTGATTATTAAATATTTCATTTTCAACAAAATTTAATTTAAATTTTTGCTTAAAGGAATATAAAGATGAATTATTCTATAAAATGGTCTCACTGACACCCCAAAATAAATTTTTCCATCCCGAAGGTATTGGTGGTCATGCAGTTGTGGATATTAAACCAAACGATATTGTGGATATTACTAGACAGTTTGTAAAAATTGATGCCGATGTAGTATTAAGAGATTGGGATCAAAGGCAAATAGAGCGATTTAAGGACACATCACCAGGAACATGGGTAACGAAGATTGTATCTGAATTGCATCAATTAAATGAGCAGTACAACGCTAATCCCAATTCGATGAAGATATTTAACATCTCCAAAGAAGTTAATCTATTTACTGACCAAGAATTTGAAAAAAGAGATTCTAAAGACGTTGTCAAAGACTTAAATTCGGTTTTACCTCATACGAATATTGCAGGATTTGAAGAAGAATTCGGTGTTGTATTTGGGCGTAAGCTTCTTCTACGTAAAATCGAGGAATTGAAGTTCAAGAATTCTACTAAAAATTTATCACTATATCCAGATT